AGAGAGAGAGAGAGAGAGAGACAAAGAGAGGGAGGGAGAGGGAGAGAGAGGGAGAGAAAGAGAGAGAATGCGTATGTGTGTGTGCTTGTGTGTGTGCGTGTGTGTGTGTTTGTGTGTGTGTGCTTGCGAGATGACAATGGCTTTTGTTAAGTTGTAGAAGTTGCTTCGGTGGTGGTGTAATGGTAGTGGTGATAGTGGTAAAAGATGTTAAATTGGTTGTGATGGTAATGCTAATAGTAGTAATAGTGGTCGAAGTAGTAATTGTAGTAGTGGAAGTGGTAATTTTGTCTTTGGCCTAGTGAGTCTATAGGCATTTTTGGTAATGGGTGTGGTTAGTGATGGTATAACAATGGTAACAGAAGGAATAGTTGTGTAAGGATTTGCTATGGCTCTTGACAGGTAAACTTTTATTTGCCTGTGTCTCCCAGCTATTTTCATGTGCTAAAGGGAATGGGGTTTGGCGTCTGCTGTATCGATGGCGATAGTTATAGTGCTGGTAGTACTGGTGGTGGTAATGAAAGATATTCGTTATTGCTGTAGTGTTCTCCTCTTAATTCTCTGCCTTCTTCACTAACTTGAGTCGATTTTTAGGGGGGGGGCGTAAATAAATAATAGATAATAAATAGCGTTTGTATAATGCAAATTTCAGCTCAACAGCAAGCTCTATGCGCCTCACAATCTGCTTTATTACCCCTGCAGAATAGTTACATTCTAAGACAATATCAACTTCCTGGGAAACATGCAGTGCAGGCTGTCATTTTATAGGTGGTTAAACACTAATATACAGACATGATCTATCGATGTCTATGGCCGGGTACCCATTCCCAACCGGGTGAAGAGAGGTAAATTCGTATAGAATGCCTTTGCCAAGGACACAGCGTCGAAGCTCGAATCCTCCAACCCGCAACCTCATTAGTACGAGTCCGGTAGCCTCATCACTAGATTACCGGCGCTACTGTAAAATGTTTAGCTTCTGCTCTTCCTCCTCCATGTCTCTTCCTCCTCTTTCTTTCCCTCCTCCTCCTCCTTCTCCTCCTCCTCCTTCTCCTCCTCCTCCTCTTCCTCCTCCTCCTCCTCGCCCTCCTCGTCGTTCTCCTCTCTCACCTCCTCGTTCTCTCCCTACTCCTCTTCTCCTTCTTTTCTCCTCCTCTTCCTCCTCCTCTTCTTACTCCTCTCCCTACTCCTCTTCTTCTTCCTCACACCTCCTCCTTCCTTCTCCTTTTTCTACTCCTCTCCCTACTCCTCCTCCTTCTAAATCGTTGTAAAACCCACATCAAAATGTCCATTTGTCCTCAGCCAGGGGTGTGGAAAACCTACGTAAGTTCCTCCTATGGCCACAGTTGGATTGACCATGTTTCATTTTGACATTTTTAATGTTTGGTGCTCAACACTTAAGCTTATCGTTGTTATATTTGGTTTCGTTAATTCCGAGTCTCAGACAATGTTTTGTGTTGAGTGCAAAGAAATAGCACCAACTGTTTTCTTGATTTATTATGTTTTTAAATGATCTTTTTGATTATCGTTTCACGGCACTCGCAGCACAATTAGGCAATATCATAAGTGACAAAGATTAAAAGTTTTACCCCAAAAAAGTTACAAACATTAAAAAAATAGGAAAAGGCGATAGATGGTTTGATATGACAGTTGGAGCAAACCACACCAGAACACCCGTCAAACATACATTTGCACCAACTGCTTCGGTGGCAAATTTTGGTTCGTTCTCTCTCTCTCTCTCTCTCTCTCTCTCTC